AAAAAAAAAAAGAATTGGGGTGGGAGGATGTTTTGGGGGACCTAGACATCCTGTTTTTCCCTGTGGCTGTCTGTTGTGGGTGCTGCTGTCCTGAGTCCTGGGATAGGCCACCCTTTCCACCCTTGCTCTGCTGTCCTCTATACCGGTCCAGCCCTACCCAGGTTCTGCCCCATCTGCTTGAGGTTGTCCAGATCATCAGACATGGAGTTGGAGAAGTCCATGAGGATGTACAGGTCCACGGGGCTCTCCAGGGGCTCGAACACCTCAAGCTCAAAGTGTTGCTCCTCACCCGGCCGCAGGCGGACCCGCAGGCTCTGGGGGGACACCTGGCTGCGCCGCAGGGTGGTGTCAATCTGGGTCTCCTGCATGCAGGGGAGGGGGACAGCTGGCTGGAGGGTCACTCCAGAGACCCTCCTCCATGAGGAGCCTCTCAGCCCAGCGAAGGGGCACCGTGGACCTCCATGCACAGCTAGCTTGAGCTCCTCCCTTGGCCCCCCAGGCAGGCACCTCAATGATCTGGAAGCTGCTTTCCATGACCACCACGCTCCCCTGCCGGCAGCCTGCGGCCAGCAGCTCTGCCTGGGTGTTGCAACGCCTCTCCTTGAACATCTGGCCAGAAAGAGATGGGGTCGGTGGGGGCAGCACCCATCCCCCCTGCCATCTCAACCTTGGACTTGTTTCCGCCTGATAGTCCTGACCCTTGCCTTTTCTCCCACACCCACTTGGCCCAAGGCTGGGCTGTGGGGTGTGGCAAGCGTGGACTTGGCCCGAGCCCAAGGCAGGGCGTGGGCCCAAGCTCGAGAAGGCAGGAAGAAGGTGCAGCCTCACCTCATCGGTGCAGTAGGCGCAGTCCTTGTCCACACGGATGCACTCGGTGCAGCTCTTCACCTGAGCCTTCTTGCAGAGGTTTGCTGGAGGGCAGAGATGGGCACATGCATGGGGATGGGTCTCAGCAGTGACAGGCCCTTTCCTATGGGCACCCTCACTTGAGGGCAGTGGGGATTTGCTCACTGTTTTACGGAGGAGGCAACATGCCCGAGAGTGGTTGGTGGTAGCACAGCTAGAAATGACCAGAGCCTGGCCTCAAACCTGTAACTTTCTCCTCAACTTGGGACAGAAGGATGGGGGAGCTGAGATGGAGGCGCTGGCCCACTCACTGGCTAGAATGTCCATCCCCTCACCTCCCACCCCACAGATCCTGCAACTTTCCTCAGTCTCTCCTGCTATCTGCCACAAGCTGTTCCTCAGTACATGAAAGCTGCTGCCATGACCTGGTATCGCTCTGAGCCTCCTTCAGGGGAAAGGATACTGTCTCGTCTCATTTGTCACTGTGTCCTGAGTACCTAGCACACACACTGAACTCAGTAGGTCCTCAGAAAATGAATAAGGTTAAAACTCCAGAGTTTCCCCCCAAAGTAATCGGGACTCCACTTGGTTCTCCTGAGTCACACACACCTGGTGTATACAGTGGGTGGTCCCTGATGTGCTGGTCAGTGTTTAACAGTGGCTTGGTGAGGGAGGGGGAGCCTTGACTTGTAACATCCGCCAATTTCTTTCTTTTTTTTTTTTT